CCTGACTCTTCCCGTTCACCAGCACCTAAATTAAACTATTTGAGGTACGTTTATTTGTGCTACTGTCGCATCTTTGATGGTAACAAACATATTTGCTAAGAAACAGCAAGAATATTTGCATTTTGATCTCTTGGAAATGTTTTTTAATGCTTGGCTCAGTTCATGCACTCATGGCAATTCATGCTTAATGCAAGGCACTTTAAAATGCAGGTGGGCTGAGGTTTAACAGAAGACAAAATCTAATCTTTACTAATCAAGTTCAATACAATCACCAAAGTGGACTCCGAATATGAAGCCTACAGGTGAGGAATGAAACTACACTCCCAGGGGACTCAAGGCAGAGGCACAGAGATGGAGTGACGTTTTAAACTCATAATCTATTTCTCAGAATATACTAATTATTCTTCATGTATATAAAAGGATTGATAAAGCTGAAATGGTTATGCTTTGGTTCCTCTCATCTGCTACTGTTGCGTCAGAATTTATCATCATTCTTTGCAGGATTGCGTGGACAGGTGTTTTTAAATTCAGATTACACAGAGTACATCCAAATTTTAGTACTCCTCCTCCAATTCATGTTTAATGACTCAGCAAGTCCCAGGAATAATAATAAAAAAAAAAAAAATAATAATACACAAATATCAGGAACAGTACATACTGACGGAAAAAGTACATGCAGTACCAGCCAAATAATGAAAGCCTGCCATATGCAGTTCAGGTTTCTGACCAACAGCACCAAAATGATCAAAGAAATCAAATATCATGCTAGAAATGGGCTAAAGGGAATCGCAAATGAAATTCCGCCATTTTCATTTACTTTACACTCCTTGTCAATTCAGATTTAAACCCTTTCATGACTTCTCTTGGAGTTGGCTAGTCAACATTCCATCTCCTGAGAGTTGCTGTTTCATACAATAACTAGAAAAGAACTTGAAGTTTTATTTTTAGAAACAAAAGTATATTTTGGCCTTCCTGGTTGTATAACAAAATAAAGTGTTATAAAGCTACAAGCACAAGGGACTGTCTTTGAAGCCTTAAGGGAATCCAACTGATTATTTTGCAATCAATTATTATTCTGACAACAATAAAAGTGCTTCTAAACTTACTAAACCTTAGCTCAGTAACCTTGAGGAAAACCCAGCTGCTTTCAGCTCTGCTCTTCTGAATCTTATCTCAGTAGTATGTAGGTACTTAATGATGTTGGTACTTTGGGAGTTAAACCAGGCAGATGTATCTTAGCAGGTAGTAAGTTATGGCTTGATAGTAAAAAAAAAATTTTTTTAGTATCAAAGTATCAGCTTTTTTTAAAAAAAAAAATTAGTGTAGAGAACATACAGCAGATTAACCACAGAGTTTTTTCAGGGCAGCACAGGGTAGTAGTATAATACTAACACTACTGTTTGCGCGATGTGTAAAACCTTCTTTGTTTTGCTTCCACTCAGAATCTAGGAACTCACACTAATACAACAATCCCAGGTATGCAGTCAAAAAATTAATCAAAAAAAGAAAAAAACAGTTTCTGCAGAAAGGCAAAGCTTATATTGATCATATGTGAAGTTTCACTAGGGTATGCTACTGCTAAATCTAGTATCTCAGCCAGAATTTAACTCCTTGATGAGCAAAACAGATCTATGAAGACTTACCTACTCCCCTATTCTGACTGCCTATACCTAAGCTTTTCTCTGCAATGCAAAAGAAGAAGAATTGGTCTAATATGGGGTTACAGGATTCTGACTTCTCATAGCACATCCTGGAAAGCACCAAGCTGTACTCACCATGCATCTGGTACGTGTACGGTGCTTGTCCGGCTGTTGGGGTACTGAAGCTGGATCCATAGCTAAGAAACCCACTCTGTCCTGGTGAATGGCTCAGGCTGTCCTCTGTTTTGATGCCTTTGGGGCACATAGCAAGAACCAAGAACAGAACATGAGTGTTTGTCATATAAAGGTAAAAAAGTAAGTTTAGGAATTCAAAATTTTTCAGCTAGATTTTAACCTAGCAAACTCCTTTTCCCCTACACTTTTTTTTTTTTTTTTAAGTTATCTGCATTACTCAGATGGGTCTCTTAAATACTAGAGTCAAATAACTTCAACACAAATAATAATTGAGTCAGCTATATGCTGTATCCACACCTCAATGTATTTCTGCTAAGATGGGGAAACAACTATGAATAATATTGTTTCCAAAACCAATTTCTAAACAAATAGTTTTGTTTTAGAATTAAACAAACTCACTGACTCATGAACTTTCTGATCGGTTATCAGAAGCAAGCAATGATTAACAAAGAAACAGGATCTTCATCAAAATAATCTCAAGACTTCTCAACAGAGTTACCTTTTACTTGCATTATATTTTCAGCTTTGGTAGCAAAATATTTGTTATCAAGTCATACAGGAAGGTTATCATCTATTCATTTAGATATAACATACAGTTCAGGAACAACAGGTAAGCCCTGAAGCCATAAAAGTATTTTCATTACTAAAATCAGGCAATTAAACCAACAATTTACAGGGGGAAGAGCAATAGCTGAATTAAACATTGCAAATTGAAACCTTTGCTGGTAGTGAAAGGGGTTGATATTTTATTCTGAGATTGTACAGCTGTATTATTAAAATAAACAGCTGAAAGGTACATCTTATTATGAACCCTTTGGGCCTGATCCTTCCCTCCTTTGCATGCCTATTTGCACAAAACAAAAAACGGCCATTGGACACACCCTGAATAAACTAAACAAAGACCCTGTTGATGTTCTGGCCTTAGATTTACACACTTCCCAGGCTGTTGTCATCTTTTAGCACTTGTAGGCAAACTTGCCAAAGGACAAGTCAAATTCATGTGCCTTTCACCAAACATGCTGTTTTCTAGCTTAATGACTCCTAAAAGCAACAAGTCTGCATTTGCCCAGGCTGGGAGTAAGTTGTCCCAGATAGCGTTTTCTCTAATAAAAATCACTTATTTCAGCTTTAGGTGAGAATAGCTGCAATGCAACTTGAGTACAAGTTAGCAACAAGATGACAATGCTGCATTGTGAAATGCTGGAAGTTTATTTGGATAGTGAATGAACACGTGGTTGTGCAAGCGTCCGGCTCCATTACTGCTGGGGAAGCGAGGGGATTTGCGAGTGTGTGCGGAGAAGCCGCTTTTCATAATATCCCATGCTTTTCAATTACATCAGCACTTCGCATGCGAGCATTCAACCTACCCCAGCTACAATTAATCTTCAGCAAATGGGTCTTTTTGGAAGCCTAAAAATTGTTGTCAGACAGCGAAATAACTTAGCACCAAATTAATTTCCAGACAATGTTCTGTTTTGTCTAGAAACTGGCCAAGTTTTATTTTTGTGCCTAAAACCAATACTGCTTCATTGTTCTTGGTTGTCAGCCAGGTGGAGTTTTTCATATGTTGTGTTGAGTATCTTAGAGAGGGTGTTTGGGCTGGGGGAGGGAAATCACTGCTCAAGGATGCTAAGAGGTCATCTGCAGGATTTATAAGCAGCATATGGGCCTGACACATGTATGCCCTAAAGACTCCAGGCAGTAGCAAATGGCTCTACTTTCACCTGCTCTAACAGGACAACTGTTCAGAGTTTGCCTTGGAAATCTGCCAGCTGATGCAAATACACAAGTAGCTCCAGAATAGTCTCAAAACAGTCCTCTCATCATCCTGGTAGAGCTTCAGCTCTGCCAAGCCCATTTCCCTGGCCCTCCAGACCATTGCATTGAACTTCCCTTCAGTAAAAGCCTTGTCAATAGTGGTATAAAAGCTTCTTGCTGGGGAGGAATACTATACTTGCCAAGGGAACCAAGGTGTTTAAGAGCACAAGAGAAATCAGGAGTGGAAACAGAACTGTGAAGCCATTTTAAAGCTGCAAGACTTGGCCCTCAAGGAATCAGCTGGGAATAAGGGGCCCAAAGCTTTACGTTAAAGAGCTGTCCCTAAGCAAGAGCAGTATCTCTTTGGTTTGTAGCTCCCTCAAGAGCTCAGGATTTCCATGCAGAGCTTGAGGATACTCTTAACACTTGGTTTACCAGGCATTCCCCCATCAGGAGTGCTGGTTTAATTAGTTCCCTGACTGAATCCCTTAGCTGCTCCTGCCCAGTACCATCTCCCCACAGCTGCTGTCAAGGATGTGCACGAAAGCAGGGAATAAAGCTGACTGGGGTTAGAAATGTTTACTGCACCTACAGCTAACAGTCCATCAGAATATGAACTGTCTTCTGAAACCAAAGTAGTCTGTACCATTTCACCCATGCCTTATTCTGCTCTGTGTCTTGGTTCTTCTGTAAAAATATACAAAAAGTTTTTCTTAAAGTAGCTTGTATCATTGAAACTCCAGGAAGAATCAAGGAAAGCAAAGTGTAGTTTACCTAAATACCATATTTACTGCAAGGGACTTTGTCTTTGCAGTGATGATAGGAACACTCACGAGCTCCTAAGTGGCACATCCTACTGACTCTTGAGTTTCTCATGCTGCCTCACACCATATGATTGACTGGCCCCAAACTTACCTAGTTTGTAAGACCATAATCCAGGATACCAAGAGCTGATAGATATATAGTTCAAAGCAATCCTAACGGTTTTAACAAAGTCAGATTTTTCCTCTAAGCTTAAGAGAAGAACGTTGCCAAGACAGAAATGACCTTTCGCTCTAAAGCTTAAGACTTCAAATATATTTTTCTAGGAGCAAGAGGAAGATGTTCTCAAAGGTACCATGACATCAGAGTACTCACTGTAGGAGGGTATGCCATAGGGCTGCCCTGGAGGAGGATAGGCAGTGTATGCAGCAGCCTGCTGGATTCCCGCGCTGTACTGAGTCTGTCCATATGTTGCCATTGTTGGGAAAGATGGGACTGTCACTATACGAGGATAATGTCTATGCAGAACAAGAAAACAGAAGATCTAAGGCAACAGTCACTGTACATGATCATCCAGAGCACATGCAGAACATTTCTAGGCATTTTGATAACATAATATCCAAAGTATTATGGTGAATATTTCGAGTACTCCGAACTGACAAGACTGGGACAAAAGTTGTTTCAGTATACGGCTCCTGATATGAGCTATTAAGATTAAGCTACCTAAATGCATGGGGACTTTAAAACTGTGCAAAATTTGTGCAAGTTAAAGAAATAAAATATAATCAACACTATAATTTGTCATGTTTCATTCTGCGTTTGCCAAAAAAACAAGTGTCATGGAAAACCTCTGACATTTCAACATATTCCTCCGTGGTCACTGATAAACACAATAATATTCAAACTGATAAGGTCTGGATTCCCAGGGATAGAAAAGTACAGTGTACAGTACCTCAAGCCTCTTTCACACCATATCTAACAAGATTAAGAACCAGTTACTTCATTGGGCCAGAGACATGCAGGGAAACAGGTGGATGGGCTTAAGGCAAATACTTTTTAAGGTGACAGAAGTCTGCACAAAATGGCTGTTCAGCAAAACACGGTTTTTAAATTACAGCACTTGGCACAAGCACTCACTTTGTGGAGTACAGATGGAGAGGACACTGTGGTGCTGCTTTGCTGCTGCTGCCACCTGGAAAACAAAGTTAAAGGGTGTTAAGATTTTCACGATGTTCTGTTCTATGGCCACACTGATACCACTGCTTTTACCACTGCTGGTTTGAGAAAAATATACAGGAATTATAAGACTTTGTTTTTAGTGAATCTCAACAAATTGAAGTAGGTAAGAAAGTTATTCTCCACTTAACAACAAATAAATATTAAAAATACAACATTGTAAATCTCCTTAATTTTTTGAGTTAACTATAACCTACCTTACTGGCCTGCCAGCAGTCAAAATATTGAACCAGTAGAAAATATATCACACAGGTTATATGTCCAGGATGTCTTCCAATGCCAAACAGTTATGTCCTGCAACACTACCAAGAAAAATGTGCCACCATCTTTATTTAGAGATAAATTTAGGTTTAATTAATTAAAATTTTTTAAAATCTAAATTAAAACCTGAAAGTTGCCTGCAGATTGTACTGAAAACATCATACTTAAATGCTACCACGAGTATTAGGCAGGTTGCTTCCATAATGCCATCCAAATTTTGCTTCTTGGCTCCTGGCTGGAGCTGTTAGATGATATTACAGCACTATAAATGCCAAAACACCCTCACGATCATCAATAATGACATTAGGCACAACAGATTCAGGCTTCTCTATCTGCTGGCTGCATCAATGAACACACCAAACTAATTGCACAGAGTCTCCACGCAGGGAGAAATCAAGCATCGCATTGTCTGCTGATGGCAGCACCACCATCCTTGACACTGGATCCTGGCATCTATAGTGTAATTTGTTACGCAGGATAGGAAATACCACCCAAGCTCATGCAGATGATGATCTCTCAACTGCAGGTGCACATGCAGGGTGGAAAGGGAGATTCCTGCAGTGCCTCCGATGCCTGCACATTGCTACCGCCAGGCAGAAAACATCTGCAGTGCTGTCCCGTGCATCAACAGGAGCGTACCCGCAACGCTGTAGATGCATTATCTTCAGTACAAAGTTGTTCAAAACAGCACCACCCCATTTGTTCAGCCATTTGTAAGTTGGCGAATTAAATATTTAAAGCATGTTTTATTTAATGAAATATGCAAATACATCTAAAGTCTAAATACATGCAAATAGTCCTATGGGTTTGAGTAACTTATTATGCTGTAAACCTGGAGAGAATGTCCAAAAAGATCTGATGTGCTCCCATATGAAATGCTTGTTCTTCCTGATTTAACTCGTTTTTGAAATTGTTCTTTCCTACACAACCGTTTTTTCACAACGTTTTATATGGCTTTATCATTTTATAATATAACATGGAGATTACATCAAACTATTTTTAAAAATACAGTCATGTAATCTGATATCTTTTTAAACTAAATTTCATTAAAAATTTTTTATCTTTGTTCACTTGTTTATGGAAAAATCCCAATGGAGGTGCACGAGTTCTAAACAAAAACATTAATTACTAGATATTATTCTTTTTTTGAATATTAATTTATATGTCTACTATATGTAATAATACTGAAAATATTAATTACAAGATTATTTTTAATGGTAATTTGTATACTGCTTACTGTATATAATAACAACACTGACATTCTAAATTTCCTAAGAAACATAATACTGAGCTTAACAAGACAGCTGAATTTTCTAGGAAACAATAACATTTGATTAAAAGATGAAAACATCTAAAATGCACACTTTTTTCAAAGAGGAGGCCCTTTTTTCACAAACTTGAAATCTTCAGAGATAATTTTATTCAAAATTTTTAAAAATAATATCCATGTACTCCTTTCTCTTTTCTCCATTTGAAAATATATTGATGTAATTGCACATCTCATGATAAGCACCCATGAAAATAGCAGGCCAGACACCTACATGGACATCCACTTAAGTAAGTATTGCAACTAGACTTGCTAAAATTAAAACTGTACATGCAATACGAAGCATATATTTGTGTACATTTATTGTATTAAAAGCTCTGGCAGTCTGAGACTTGACGAACACACAAGTATTTTCAGGTTCTTCAAATTAACAAGAAGTATTTTCAAGGGAAAGTGCATAATCTTGGTAGCACATGAGATCATTCTGTAGAAAAATAACCATAATACTTCTACAAGAAACATATCAACATGAGCTGTCAGTAGCAAACTGGTGTCCAACAGTACAAGTGCTATGCTGGCTCTTATTTATATCCCATAATAACAAATAGTTGCTGCATTAAGAAGTTTACAAAACGATGGATTTAAAAATCATTTCTAGTTCTAATCTTTTCTGCAAACACGTACATTTCAAAGGATGTTTCCTTTAGATTGTTATCCCTTTGACTGCTCTTGTAGATAGGCAGTCACGATGTACGTGATTTAATCACGCAATTTCTAATGCCTTAGCAAACATGCAAGCAAAACACCTCCTTGGCTTCCAGGAGCCTATAAACAAAGGGTTAAACATGCTATTAAAACATAATAGCCAGTGCCTTTTGCTAACTCCGCTCCAACAGGAAGGCTGACAGATCCTGACCGCAGCAAACAATAGCTGGGATTGTACTAGCAAGAACTAGTTGAGCTGCATCACTTGCCAATAATTTTTTTAGCAGATTTTACATTCTTCTGTTTCCTTCACTGGAACAGTATGATGGGGGGAAGGAGGAGGAGAAGACCAGATAAATTTCCATCAGAGCCTCGACCACTGAAAGAATTTGTCCTTGGTACCTGCCAAATGTGAAACTTCAAACTATAGGCCAGCAGGGCTAACCATTTGGAGATGACAGCAATGATCTCAGAGCAATGCAGACCAGGGCACGGGCTGCTTTGGCAAAATGTTTTCTGGCTGCACGATACACGTTGGGCCTGGGAGCCCACATGCTCTGCACCCCAACAGCAGGAGCACAGCCACCGAAGCACAGGGCTCATGTTCATGCCACCAGTGGGGCTCTAGTGGGGTCCAAACACAAACTACCAGCTCTATAGGAAATATTTATACCTGCAATTACTCCAGTGGAGTAAACATGTGTGTGCACCTACTATACACAGATAGATATCCACATATAAAACATTTCTATTCCATTTGCATTCAAACCATGCTGAACTAAAGGATTCAGCCACAACTGGAGTGTCCACAAAAAAACACTCAAAAATCCCAGTTGCTCACTATACCGTAGAACTAATTGTTACAAGCAGAAGCCTTGCATGTGGTCAGTTCCCTTTGGTTATGTATATATTTACGCACTATGTTAAAGCCAGCAAACAGTAAGCAAAAGAGGCAGCCTACCTTCTATGTCATCTGGAGCTGTGGCATAAATGTTGGAAAGGTTAAGCTTCAGTCTTTCAGGGCACTCTCTATTTACAGTCAGGCTGGGTGGTATCACTAGATCTAGCATTTCCTTATACCTGAAGGAAAACAAAGGAAAAATATAATTTATTCATGAATTATACATGCTTACTAATGATTCATTTTTTTTTTCCCTAAGAGTATAAATATTAAAGCTGGTTACCTAAACCCAGGCTTCATATAAATTCCACATAATAACATTCACTAAAGTTTTCATCTCAGGGAAATGCTGAATTAAAATGAAGTACTTGCTCCCTTGGAGATTACACCCATCTGATTAATGCTTTCCCTTTCTTCCTGGATTTTGCCATACAAAAACCATATTTCCTTATCTCTCATATGCCATCTGAGCGAGAATATACACACCAGCATCCAGTGTGGCTCCAGAAAAGACTATAAAGGGCTGAAAATGAAGTTGAGGGCAGTTAACAGCATTATCTAGTCTTACAAGATAATGAGTTTAGTACTGGTGACAGGATCGGTTTTCCAGGGCACACTTAAACCAGGCACCTAACAACAATGTCCTGACCATTAGGTGGCAGTGATACGAGGACAGTGCCTTTCACATAAATAACCTCATCTGATTTAACCAAAAATTTCAAATGAACAATATACAGGACTCAAGCCTCCAAAAAAACACGTAATTGTTTGTATACGCACATGACCCACACTATTATGAAAGCTTATAAACTCAATTACACAAACAGTTCAGAAAAGAGAATGACTAAATAATTATTTCGGACCTTATGCACCCCATGAATAGGCCGATTAATTTAAATATCACCATTTTCAAGATGTGTCTAACACCTTTTCAGAAATGGGCTCCAAAGACACTTGCTTGAAATAGAGCTGTTTGCTGCCCTTGCTTTCCTTGGAAGTGTTGGATGGATACAAAATATCGCATTAAAGTGCATAGATTTGCATAACTGTGTTTGCAAGTTTGCAAAAAGACAGCGGGCTGAGTAAGGAAACTCTGTGCTACATTAGGTACCTGCACGGTGGCTTTTATGCAAGGCAGGTGTTCTGGACACCTTTACCCTCATAACGTTCTGCCCTTGTTTCCTGTGCAAGCAATGCCTGCAGCTGGCACTGTGAAGAACCCACTGGCCAAAGAAAACCTGAAGCTAAATTTGCCAATTCATTACATTCATTTTTTAAAAATATACACAATGCTATGGAAACGTATTTGAATTTTCTAAGCCTACACCGATGTATTTTGCAGGTTTTGGTTCAGGTCCAGAACAAATGATGAAAAGATGAGGACTCAAAGATGCTATGTCCTTCTTCGCTTTCTGCGGCCACGTAGATTATGTCCTCACTTTGGTCCCTTGGAGAATACTGGGGGGAATTAGAGCTCTTGGAGAAAAGTGTAACTGTGCTCTTGGACAGCGCAGGGCCTGAGAAAGAGTAGATGGGAGAGAGGGCATATGGTGGTGAGCGGATCCAAGGCATCTGGCTGCAGCCTGCCTGGGCTCCCCTTTGAACACGCTACCTGCAAAGGCAGCTGGCACACCCCTGCTGCCAGGCTGGGACCTATCCGAGCTGGACTATAAAGACAACAAATGGCACGGCAGCAACAGGCTGGGAGCAATCCATAGCACACCTAAAACAGCATGAAGTTAAAGGCAACGGCACACAAACCAGAGTTCCTGACACTGGGCTTCTGCAATACTAATCTACACACTTCTGTGAGAAGCAAAGAGGTTTGTTTTGATCTTCTGTTCAAATACCACTGTATGACTTTACCAGCTTTGAGAAACAGAGAACAATAAACCACATACTTTTCATCTGAACCTCTCTAATCACTTTCACAAAGCCTGCAAGTCCTTGTGAGGGAAGGTAAGTACTGTTAGCAAGTATTTTACCTGTAACTGAACAGCAAAGACCAAAGTTGGGTTCGTTTTCACTTTCCCCACCTAACAGCCGGGAAGGCACTCTGGCTAGGTAGAAAAAGCACCAATCCTCTGTGAATTTGCAGAGCTGCCAAAAATGCGTATGAAGTGGCACAATCATACACAACATCCGCAGCCCCAGTCCTTGTTTCTCCAAGTGGGATCTGAGCTCCTCTGGTCTGCCTCCCTTGGAAATCCACGTGGGCATATGCATTTTCACCACCAATGTAGCCTCAGGTCCAGAAGTCAGTAAAGGCTTCCTGATGACATGCCATGAAGGAGACCTTATGTCAGCAATGAATGACCAATAGGGTAGGTGAAGGCTTCCTGATGACATGCCATGAAGGAGACCTTATGTCAGCAGTGAATGATCAATAGGGTAGAAATATGGTACTCTGAATCCACACTTGTGAGATACATGCTCCCGAACTGCTGTGTGATATAGATCTGCTAAGAAAACAAGACTTGCATAAAAATCAGTGTTGCTTTGTCGCTGGAGGATCTTTGTTGCTAGAGGGCCTCAAAGAACTCCACTTCCAGATGCATCCCTGTAAGATGAACACCACTCCTGCCTCCCCCTCCCTGCCTGAGACACAGACACTAAAACACTGCAAGACAGAAGTGAAAAGGCAGGTGCACAAGGGCCACCAATAGTGCCCACAACCACTGTCCAGGCTAACCAACTGCCTGGAAATGCAACAAGGAGTCAGATTTGTACAAGGATACAAGAAGTAGTCCCTAGCTGTAAAAATTCCTCCCCAAGTGATTCCGTCTAATGGCAGAGCCAAAACAGCAATCCAGGTCTCCTGACCTAACTCTAAACAAAACACAGCCCATAACATTGAGTCCTAAGAGCACCAAAGCAAGCTATGCTCTAAACTGGTACCAGTAGATAGAAGCTTTACTGGAGCACGTGTGCATCCACTTCACTGGCAGTCTCAGGCACAGGGGAGGTAGGCAGATGCCTTGGAGCTACAGACTGTCAGGCAGTAAGGGATGGTCACGGCCCTTCTGCACACTCTGCTTATGCCAGAGGAAAAAGATTTTTCTCCTGAAACAGCTAATCTCCCTCTTTTACTGGTACAGCCAGGCTGCCACAGAGAAAGAGGTCAGGAACGCTTTTGTGGTGCTTGCTTCTCAGTGGGGAGGAACAAAGTCTCTCCTACAAGCAACTATGGCTCCTAAGGCTCTCTTAAAAGCAACAGGCTGGGTGGGGGCTCTTTTCCCAGAGGAATTACTCTATCCAAATCCATTGACACCAAATTAAATTTTGCTTGCATGGCTGAGAAGACAGGGTTCACTTTTATACCAGCTTTTCCTTTCCACTGTAAGTAGTGTCCAATTTTTTTCCCCCTTATTTCCTTAATGCTATACCTGAACGGAGGAAAAGCACTGCTGTCCCAGACCCTGCCAAGCTGGGGATATTCTGCGTTGTTTCTCAGATAACACATGCCCTTCAGCGTAATCCAAAATCCCATCATTCATGACACTGCCCAGACTGTTGCCAAGTGAAGGGGAGCAGATGTTTAAAGGGAAATGATTTTTTATAATGATTAATGCACTTTAATTACATCATTGTTCAGAGATTTCATTAGCTACTCTCTGACTGATGATTTTTCTGTTGGTTTTGTTCTCTTCACTTTTCTATTCACAGACACATCACACTTCCCTGTATTTGTCCTGTAACATTTTCCCTTTTTTTTTTTTTTCAGCATCCATTTTTCTTTAGAGCATGCATTAGTAGCATGTACAAACAGGTAACTCTTCACAGAAATCTGTCCGGTTGTGCGTGTCACGGACGTGTTTGCATTGTTAGTGCCTTTGCCTGTTTTGCACGCATCATTTACCAATTTGTTCACGTGCACTTCTCGCTTATGTACTTCTTCACAAAAGTTTCTGAAATTCCAGTTCTAACAATGGCAATCTACAGAAAATCTTCAGTAAAATAATGGAACTGGGATGGCTTTTAACACAGTAAATTACATTCTGGAGTGCAACTGATGAAAATATCAGGTCTTTGTTCACTTGCTTTTTAGAGCAAAACATTTTCTGGCTTAAGTAATGTACAGCAAATCAGTAATGAAGTTTGCTGAATATGAGCTTTTATTAAAACCAGTGATGGCAGCATCTAGTATGTTGGGCTGACAGACATCTGGAAGAGCTTTTGGCTTCTATGATTAAGAACCACCTTGTGTGAATTTGGTGCTCAGCTTTTCCATTAGAATCCCCTACTCAAAACCCCACATTTTGCCCTGAAAGTTAGCCCACAAAATCTCTGCTAAGAACAGAAACTTTTCTCTTTACTAACATTGAGGAAGGAAAAAAGAAAAATAAAAGTCGTCTTCAGTCATTCTAAAGCTAGGAATGCCAAATAAAACATTTTAAGGTTTCAAATTTTTGATCAAGATGTTGGGGCAACCTACAAACCACATTTTCTTTTACAATGATGTTTTGAAGGCAGTGATTCCAGACCCCAACTCAAAACTCACAAACGTGTGCTGAAGATCAAACTACTGAGCAATCCCATCTCTCTCCAGCAACGTACTCAAAGATGAGCAGAAGTGCAGTGCTGAAGCAGGACTGAGTGTGCAGACAGTCAGCAAGGTGCCCTGGATACTGATAGTGATGAGAACTTGATGGATCATATTTTGAAAGGATGAAACAGGAAATCACCGTGACACTGTGGGCAGATGCAACCACACCACAGCTCTGCTCAGCACAGCTGAAAGGCCAGAAGGCACCAGCAAGAGATGAAGGAGACTCCTTCCAAAGCTTGGACCTCTGCTGCTCAGGCATAATTTACAGCATCTCTCAGTCCGCTCTAACTTGCTTTTGATATCCTCCTCACAGCTCACTAAAGGCATCATCTACGGGACCATGGGCATTTCCATCCCCACTGTGAAGGCAGCGGACTTGTTCCTGGGCGTCTGCGTATTTCACTTGTGTCTAGCCCATTTATGGGGTGAAAACACAGTATTCTGGCTTCAATACATATAACATCATGGAGTGGAACAAATGTTCAAAACAGCACTTCCAGAGCATTTTCAGTAAATAAGACACTTGTGCATTAAGTAGTACTGGGGTAAATTCAATGGCCAAGTGATGAAGAGATTTCAAAGGGAATGTATGCAAGGAAGAGCATTCTCCCTGTAACAACAGCAGTCTGT